GGTACCCCCTAATTTTCGGAAACCCCAGCACCATGCCAAGATGTTTGACCGCTGCGCTCCAGGGGATGATGGCGAACAAGAGCAGCAAGCACATGATCTACATGGTGCTCTTTGCCGGGGCTCCCAGAGCTCCTGGTATCCCTTCGGCGTAGTGATCCTCACCAGTATCAGCAGCATCCGGCATCAGCATCGGCATCAGCACCACAGCGACCGCACAGATCAATGTTACATTGCGACTTCGCAGCCATTCGACGACAGGACCTTCTTTTGTTAATGGCGTTTTTTAGCGCTCCATCGCGAGACTGCGAGACCTGGCTTGAGGTCGTATGCCTGTTCCTCCTGATGTACTTCCTGAGGAAGATGAGCTTCGGTGGGCTTGCGCCCTGAAAAATCCCGAGAGCTGAAGGAAACGGGATGCTGAGCATTGACGTAAGCTTTGCACGTTCAATGGGCGAGGTCCGGGGGTGCGGCATCCATACAACTGTGTCTACCTCAGACCCTTCAGAGGTGGTCGTGAGGACAGCATATCGCAGAGAGCATAAAACCCCATCCATCTCCTGAGCCTAGGAAGGAGAATGCCTCCAGCGGTGATTGAGCGACGGTCGTGAGAGCCTTGCGCCTGCGCTCACGCATGGTCCGATTCAGAGTCTTGCATCGTGTTGCACTTGTTGCACTTCCTGTTCATATATGTCGAGGTACATCTAAGTACTAGTTCCCTGCCCTCCCAAGTTCCGCCCCTTTCTCAATCATATGCTCGGATTGAATTTTCCGGCGTGGCAGAGGAAGCGGGGCACAGAGACTTGCCCGCCTTTCGATGCAGACAGTGGCGAGGCATAAATGGGAGACCCCTGCTCAGAATGTAGTCAGCCTTCTGGACTTCTGGTAGGCGGTCCTACTTGTAGTTCGCATTATGTTGGTGGAATGCAGCATCCGCGGTTCAGCGGAGCATGGTATCCTGCATAGCGGTGCTGGGGCCTGCTAGGGTCGGCTAGAGATGCCCGTATGCAAAGTATTCTCGGGAGCCACAGAGTCGAGTTGTTGTCTGCCTTGCATACCTTTCTTGTGCTGCAGTGGATGGGAAACGCACCGCATGCTGCCAACAGAGAATGTTTGCATCTGCGAGATCTGGCTTGCAGCCTGAAGGGCCGCATTGATTGTGAAGATTGTGGAGAAGTATAGAGGCAGGGGCAAGAAGATGAACCAGTGAGAGAGAGAGAGAGAGA